CCATTCGTAGGAAAATTTGTAGCCAGGAGCGTGGTTTGTCGGTGATTAAGCGGTAGTTAAGCAGAGAATAGATGCCAAAGAGGGACGTATCACGATATTAGCATATGGCATTGTAACGCGGTTGGAGGTTAGGTAGGCGTTCATCGAATTGTGGACGCGCGAAGTCCAGCGTAATGTGTTACTTGGCAAAGTGGATAGAGCGGTTTGCACGGGCTGTTGCTCTCCTTCCCTGTAATTTTCTTTCACGTTCGCCACGGTTTATTTTCTTCGTGTTTTACGTTTTCAAAGCTCCCGTGTCACGTGAAATTTTCCGCACGTAAAATATATTACTCCGGACATATTACCTACGACTGTTTGCTTATAGTTAGATGAATGTTTATCTTGACTTGCACTTCTGTGACTGCTATAAATCAAAATGAAATATCGCTTCTGCAATGAGTGTGTTTACCATGTAAAGATGCTTCTTCGTCGTAGCTGCTTGTTAGACGGCAACCTGAGAGTAGTTTCGAACCTTTGGAATATTCGATTTGGAAGATTCATCGTGGCGAGGTTTTGACAGCGCGTGCGCCAGTTCAAAGGGGGATCGAAGAATAAGGAAAATCAGTGTAGGTATTTTCGATTAGGCGAGAATTCACGATGCAAAAATGCAGTCGTGTATATCGCATTCGCATGTTTGTCATTCCGAGTGTATCGAACACGTCGATCAACTTGCATCAGTCTGTGTCGCGTGTTATCCTATTTTGCGCGTACGTAGCAACACCGATCACGAACATGAAGTATCCGACAAAGGCAGGACTTTTCTTTGCTTCGAACGCTTGAATTCGTGTATTGCCAATGACAAAGGAAAGATCGCGACAAATCTCGAAGCGGTCGAACTAGGATTAAACTTGTAACGCGTATACTTTCCTTGTCGCTAAGCTATCGAGGAAAGGAAAGAAAAGGAAAGGAAAGGAAAAATATTTCATAGTAGTCTTTTCTCGAATTTGAGAACGACATATCTTCGAGAAGGAATACCGACCAACGGAAAAATCCTCCTCGTCTGTCCAGTTTCAAACAAAACATCGAAACTCGTTACAGTGTCTCGAGGAAGCGTATATCGTTTTTTACCTACAGTTCGCCTACTACGGAACACTAGAATTACGTTTGAAGATCGAGAGAGTCGCCTGTAGTCCAGCGCAAGCGTTTAATTCGAAGTTCAATTATGGCAGGAAACTCTATAACAGAGTAAAGTTATACTCATCACCGCAAAACAGGGGTGCATCGTAACTCGAGCACTTCGATACGAAAGTGGGTTTTCGAAAAAGCAAAGGTAACTTATGAGGGGTTCGCTAAAGGAGCTTTAGAAACGCGAAGGAAGCGGAAAGCCACTTCAAAAGCAGCACAAGTAGCGAAAACACTTAAGCGAAAAGAACTTGAGCGTTCCTGGCCAACAAAATAGAATGCGTACGAAATAGTGGAAACTGTGCAAAGGAGTATAATGCGAATGCATAACAAACAGGGCTTGCGCTTCGCCTGTCTTCCATCGAGTAGTTTATTACAAATTCTCATGAACGTGAATCTCTGAAAATCCCTGAAAAATTGTTCCAACCTATTTTATCATCCCGATCTCCTATTCTTTTCGTCTTTTTATTTTAATCGATATACGAAACATTATTCTACGCCACGAACTTTCGTTTTGTAATATATGTACATGTATAATCTTGTTTCAAATGTAATCAAATTCAATTAGCGTTCTCTCATTGTGGACCACGAACATGTTCGTGTACGAGTTGCCTGGCTATCTGTTAGACTCTCGAGAAAAGTCCGGGACACATAGGTAACTTTACACACGAGTTAACTGGATACTCTCTCTCTCTCTCCTCTCTCTCTCTTTCTCACTCTCTCGCTTGTAGAGTTTCATTTTTACGATAAATTCGTTGGTAGAGTACTCGAAAGAATCGCGGTATTAGCAAAGAAAAACAAGAATCATATTGCCGTTGGTCGATGGAAACAAGAATTTATTAAGCCATTTGAAATCGTAATACACAAAACGAAGAACTGTTTGAACTATTTGCCAGTACTTCGAGTTTCGTCCGATCCTTCCGGTTTGTATGAACATTCAGATTCATAAAACATAGCAATTGAATTTGAGTGCCTATTGTTGTAGCTAGACCGAAACTGGAAAATACAAACTGCTCGCTGACCAGTGACCGCATATATGCTGAAATCCCTATCAACCCCAGCTGCGTTTGACGTCTCTCTGGAATTTCTTCGTTCCTCAATGATCGGTTTAATGAATTGTCCGCACAAAATCCATATCACGTAGCTGCCGCTAGATTATTTCGTTGCTTACCGTATACCTCTGGGTAACCCCATTGTACACACGTACGTTTATTTGCATTTGAGAAATTTCTTTGTTCGTCGCATAAACTCTGCTATTTAATGAAACAGCGGAATGGATAATCTTTTTTGCAAGCAAAATCATTTTATATTCATACTTTCATTAGCATAGTTGAAAATATGGAATCTCAGCAGATGTCTGACTCTCTTACCAACAATAAATACTATTATAACAGAAATTATATAACAGGTACGGTCTTGGATATTTCGAACATTATGTGCGTCATATGCACCTTTGCACCCTTCAACTTCCCATAAATGCATGATGAAAATTCGCAATCATGTAATTTATTTTAGTCACATCGTAAAAAAGGGAAAAAGGGAAAAAATAAAATTAAGTCGAAACATTATCTACGGAACCAGTCACACATTACTCTTAATAAATACTGATACGTAACTAAGAGAAAGGGCGATCTATCGATCATTTATCACGATTTTTACCACGATTTATGCATAGGATAAAATTACGCGAAAAACATACGGCATCGCGACCTCAAATAAACGCGAATATCTTTTCATTGGCGAAATACACGGTACGATATTTTCGATGTGCTTTGGAAAAAAACTTTCGGCTGAAATATTAGGCCGGTAGGTACGTGCCAGTTTTCGACAACGCGCGGCTCTCCTGGTTGGACGAGTGATGAAAGAGGCGAAGCTTCTTTGCACGATTTCTATTGAACCAACTCGGCCCACACACGAGGTGTTTATAGGGACAAGTATTACGAGTTGACTCGAAAACAGGATTTTCTTCTATGCTCGTTTCGATCTCTGTCATTTTTCTAGTTACAGAGGAGTAGGATTTCGTGTAGAGCTTAACTTTCATTGTTCCCTTGTACGACCTCCTATTTGACAATATTATATCGAGACTTAAATCCACCGACGTCTATATATAAATCTGCTTTTAACCCAGAACTCGATTATACGTTTCCTCGTCTCAGCCTCTAGTCGTTCGTCATAGCTCCAGCAAACCCTAGATAATCGAATCTCCGCTTCCGTCTTTGAGATTGCAAAGCCCTTCGGACAGTACGGTACTTTCTTGAAATCTCGCTCAATTCTGTCATTCCTTCTTACTTCGTCGATAATTAAATTTAGCACACGTATGGATCGATTGGTAGAAATTAACCGTGCCATTGTGGTAATATATGCAAGGACTACAGAGGGGGAATAATTATGGAATGATTAAGGAGGAAAAATATACGAAGGTACAATTTTATTCATGCTTACGCAAACATAAATCTAACGAGATGAGAATTTTTTTTATCACACGTATCTATCTCATTGAATCATTTAATGCGTCATATTAACATCAAATTGTTTCGTGTAATATGCTGTAACAATATGATATAATAATTATTTATTCATCTTTCGCAATGGAACTCGCAAATTTTGATATCGCGTGACAAAATATTAATAAGAAGTAAAATATGAAGCATCGCGTCGAACAACAGCTTACTTTAAATTCGACGAGGGGATGATCTAAAATTTAAAAATTCTTCTTTGTACGATATTTTTTGAAACATGGATAATACGACTCTCGATTAGTAAGAAATACTCTCATACGGATACATTTCACATACGACTACCGATATTAAGATTTAACTAATGGATAAATTTATAACGACTGCGCATTGGCATTTTCGAATTATACGCTGTAATGTTGTACGTTCCGCGATTTGAAAAAATGGTGCCAACAATTGGCAAAAAATACGCGTTTAGCTTAGTAGACATAGAGTACGAATAACTGTCAGTTTACTGTACGAATAACTCTGAAGTTTATTTTTCGTTCTACATCGCTCTCGAATGCAATGTATGACTTGTCATGTGCCCGGCCATATTGCAAAAAAAAGTTGAGAAGAGATATAAGTAAAAGTAGCGCTGCGACTATAACTCGAGCGAAGAGACCTTCCGTTCTTGTAATTATCTTATAGAAGTTTTAAGACTTCTGCTAACTTTGGAACGACATAACATTTTTAAAAGGATACCACTCGCATAAACTTCGTCGCTTTAAATTCAATAAAATTTCTCGTGGTTCAGTTGATAGTTGCATTAGGACGATTGAATGCATTTTATTACGTTTGTTATACACACATATGTATGTATGTGCATCATGTTTGCTCGATGTTCTTGGCATCGCCGCGAATCAACTTACTTTTACTCTATAAAATTTCCTGTTGACAAACGACCGATCTTTTGTTTGCTGCGAACGGTATTTACTCAATGCTCGTAGAGGACAGTTTTGTTTGCCAGTGAAAAGGATTAGTGGAATAAATGAAAGAGCGATCTAACTAACGGTTTTCGAACCATCTGCACATTTCTGAGCTATGAAACCTTGGATACTATACATATACATGAAACACGAGCTATGATAGATTACGTACGAAGATTTGTGAAACGTTAGCAGATGTCGCGATAAACCATTCGTTTGAGGAAATTTCGTGTAGCATTCGCGTTCTCATCTAGATCGACTAATTTTAATTGCTCGCGATACGCTTTACGGAACATCATTTATATTGGAGATTACGCTGTTTTCTTTATGAAACCGCACGATGGTGTTATCATTATTCCTGTCCCGCTTGTCTCGAGATTACTTTCCATTACAATTTTCTTTATATATTTTTCAGCCAAATGCCCGTGAACACTCGAGATCGCCGAAGAAACAGCCAAGGCCCGATAAATACGGAAATGGAGCCTGCACGAGGCACGTCTGCTCGATAGGTTCGTACATCGAGTAATCTTATTCTCAATTTTTAACTCGAAATGAACTTTCAATACGTACAAGCATCAATTACGTGAAGCGTATGTTCGGGCAAAATATAAATTGTGAATTATCGGCGTTTCCTCTTCCACAGTCTGTTCGCCAATTGAGGGAAGTGCAACATCAAATATTTGCATCTCAAAACTTGACACGAGGTATTTAACTTCCTTTGTAAAAATAATTGAAACAAATAAATAATTTAACGACCGTGAAATTTTAGTTAATTTGTTTCGCCGAAAAAGAGAGAGAGAGAGAGAGAGAGAGAGAGAGAGATAGGAAAGAAAATGTAAAATTTGACAAAACAAATTAAAAATTGGACAGCCGCAGCTCTCGCGTACTAATATTTTCGAGGTCCGCACGAACACATTACATTACTCTATGTCATCCTTGAATTAAATTAGAATGAAATGAAAGCCGGATTTAATTAAGTCCATGGAGTTTCACTCGACGAGTTAATTAATTCACGTCCAATGAAATTCAGATCGACCCTCCAGTACTGTTTACGTGATATCGCTATCAAAAAATTTCAACAGTGATGGGATGCCCATTGAAATAATCACTGATATGATCGTTTGTATATCGGAAAAGCTGTTGGATTTTATCTTGTAGAACTACGTTTACGTGCGTTTGATTTTTACTCGCAATTTCAGCTTCTCTAAACATTTACGAATCTATAACATGTATCTATATATCCTATTTATAACTATTCGTAATTAAGGTAATACGAGGAAAACAAGTAGTCAAACAAATATATAATTATGTTTTTGCTTTTATCAAAGGCATATTTTTAGTGTACATGTAAATTAAGAAATCCAAAACCCGTCATTTTGTTGGTGTTTGGTAGTTCTAACTTTGAGAAGACTAATTATTATAATGGGGAGTACTGACATTTTTGGACATTAGCATCAACTATTTAATGGGACGCGCTTGATTGGATTTCTTCTACCCTATTAAATTGGGATCATTTGGTGGTTACCCGATGTCTTTTATTATTTGTATCGTGTTATATGTTATTACTTTCATGATATACGGGACGCGATCAGCTCGTTTTTCCCACGTGGCTTACTCAAATAAGCCAACCTCCCGTGCTGCAAGATTCAATGCTTTTGCGGATTTCCAATACGTTCGATGCTCGTCCGACAAGCTCGTCCTTTCGGATTTTTCAATCTGCCGTTTCAAATTTTGAAACAACATAGAGACAGTTGTAATTTCCTTTGTTAAATTATCAAACTACGATCGAGTAATTTCGCAAAGAGGGATAGGTTATCGATTATAATAGATTGCGCAGAAGGAAATTGAAGGTAAACTATAAAGTTTGCTTCCACTTAGATGCAATTAACAAATGGTCGAACAGAGAAGCAGAAGTGATTACAGATACAATAGTAATGGTTGACCCCATAGTAATTTAGTGTAATTTAAAGTTATCATTTTGCACCACTCTAATGAAAGAGAGGAAAGAGGAAGGAAAGCACGAAGTTATCTCGACTGGGTCTTAGTAGACTCGTTGCTAAAGCTTTCATAGTTGGCCAGTGCTTTGAACCAAATCATCGGTATAGCGGAGGTTAGGCCATAGAACTTATTTCTATGAAAGAGATGATTGAGACGAAGACTTTTCAAACTCATGTTTGATGTACCATTTCTTTGGCAAGTTCAGGAAGGTCAGCAGAATTGATGAAACTTAGCAATTTTACATTTTATATCTCAACCTAACCTCACGTTAGACAGCGTTCTATATCGAAATATTCTTGTCATTATGTGAAAGTAAAAGGAAAGATTATATCGCTAATAACATAAAGAGGATCGTGTATGCTAGTCTCGGTTATTAGAATAAAAGCATACAAATGTATCGTAATTAGGTGTGACTGAAAACTAGTTCCCTCCATCATAGTTGCTTTCTGTTTTTCCACTTGAATCGGTAAACACTTTGTTTTCTGCTAAACGTGACCTTCTCGGTAAATATCGTCGCAGACGATATGCATTATGTATATTCGTCTAGAACGTATTCGTGCACTTGATTATCGATCATCCACTTTTCGCGTGTGTCTGCACAATACGTTACCACGCTCTGTCAACATTTACGTAGCAGGACGTTCGAATTTAGCACGCGAACAACGGCTACCGACTAACTGCCACTGCTTTCAGCTACTTTAATTTTGCCTGTTAATCGACTCGTCAGGCAAACCTCCATTTCTCGAAGTGAAAAATCACAATTCTGGATATATTTGATCCGTAAATCTGTGGTAAAATCCAAATTTATTGTCAACCAACGGTAAACAATCGCTTTCGAAGCAAACTAATTCCGTTCGGAATGTCGGCGTGTATTCATGATTTCGAAGATTCGATCGTTTCGAATCTCCCGTTACGTATCGGACTGTACTCGATTGGAAATTACATTTAAATAATTTGTTTCGTGTTGCTTCGCGTTGTTGCTTCAAAGCGTAATGATACTCATGACCGTAAAAGGAAAAAGTACATCCGTAAACAGCTTTTCAACATTGTTTAAACAGAACTAGTTCGATTATGTTAATCGAATTCGGAAGTATACAGAATTCGAGAAAGTGCTTTTCCCATTTTCCTTCTTTCTCGTCGATTCGATCGCTCCTCAATCACGAAATTGATTTCAGTTTGAGTATTAAAAAATGAATCATTTATTTACACTCGACCGTCTATAAATAAAGATATCAAATAGCCATTGTTTGATATTGGACTATAGTATAGTCCACCACAGCACGCTGAGCTCGTGAAAGACTTCTTTAACCTCTTAATGACTAAAATATTAATGAACGGGCAATCTCCCTTGTTCCCTGAAGATATAACCTGAAAAGAAAGCTAGCGAGCTTACTGAACAGTTATACTTATACACCGTACTGTAATTCGAGAAACACAAATATTAAATAACAAAAAACTTTCCTAAATGGCACGGAGCTAGGCATAAAAAATTCTTGCCTACTGTCGTGCGAAACATACGATGATCGATCCAATGATCGATGCGTTTTACTAGAAATGGAGGCACGATTAAATTTCTGCGTTATAAACGCACAACTATCGAGTTTGCACTGCCTATAGTGATCAAGAAAGTTTTCCAACGATGATGGAAACTAAAAGTTGGTTGTTGGTATCAGAAGATTGTATCTACGAATTATTCTAGTGAGATGAGAGTGGTCGAGTTGGCTTGGCAATACTCGATAAAACTTTGAATGTAATGTGCCATCATAATGTTCTCGAGTTATTCGAATCGTAAAAATGCGAGATAAGCCAAGGAACGTTAATTTCTGTCACACTTAACGGCACGTTGTAATACGCTCTGAATGTGGTTTTCTAATTCTCTAAATCATTTCTATGATTTTCTTTTCAACGTCATAATCGTTCATAATCGATGAACATAAATGACAAACACTGGAAAAGACGTTGCTAAATCACACATGTGGTGTGAAACAAAAGTGCGAGATATAAAACGAAGAAAAAAAAAAAATGTGGAAGCTCTCTATTAAAAAGTGCTTTCTATACTCCATTACGACTGCTCTACTACGCGCCACATATCTTGCCCGAAAAAACGAAAAGGGGAAAGAGAAAAAAAATGGGAAGCCGTGCGAACGGAAAACACGAACTTTCCATTAAAGAATGCTTTTTAGATACGTGGTTCGTGTGGCGCTAATGCGACTAAATCTGTACATCTGTTCGCATCTCAGCCGTTAAAATCGGCGAATCACTGACTACACGTAACTTTGCGGTTTTCGCGAAACCATCGTTTAAGATAAAGAAACAAGAACGAGAAGAAAATGAGGAAAGATTGTTGGGGAACGTAGGGGAAAGGTTAGCTGTGAAAAGGTTGGTGAGGAAAAGCTAAGTAAGCATGCTAATTAAGCTGACTGGTGGAGCAGGAATTTCCTGAAAAGCGAAAACCGGTTTTCTAGCAGCTTGAATCGCGTTAACGGTAAACGTTTAAATGTTTTCGATGTTTCGCTTGAATGTCGCAATTCAGCTTCTCCGCAGGGCAGAGACAATGCGAGCGAGTGGTCGCATTTTTAACGGAGAACAACTGCTTTCCCCCGGTTCTTGCATCGTCGTTGCCTCACTCGAAAAGTAGAACGCTCTAACCCCCGAGAGCAGGCTGATCTAGTTTCTCACGGCTCATCCGTACCGTCGATCAACCCAAACCGACGCGACGCGATGCGACGTACGTTTTCACCTAAGAGATTACCAAAGACCGTGCAAAACACGAACAGTTCGCTTACCGTAAACCATCGCCGGCTACCGGCAGAAAAATTTGAATAATTATACCTGGCAGCTACTATTACTTCCTTGGCTGAATCAGATTGGCGATATCTCAATTTCCAGTGGTTCGTCGAAATACGTCGAAAACCAAGATTTATATATTTTCAATCTATGACTATGGGACTATTTTAATAGAATTTTGGAGATTGTTCAATAAGAATGATAACAAGCACGATTATGTTCGAATAAATTCGGTAAAAATAATTCACAACGCTACGATTAGCAGCTTGAATCTTTCTCTGTATTTTACTCATTTCATTCCGCTACATTTAAGAAACGAATGAACCGAAGAGAGATATAGCGGTCGGAGGATTTCTAAAATGGTATCTCCCTCGATAATAGAGACACGTAGCGGATTCGAACGTGCGTCTACTAAACAATAAGCGAGAGATATTACTTGGAATCATCGATAATCGAACGATTCGATCAGCGTAGCTGCCTCCGTTATTGTCAGGCGATCGATATTAACCGTTGGAATTAATTACCGGTAATTTTTCATTAGCGTGCGTCGAGATAGGTGGACGATTTGGTCGCGTTGGCGTCGAAGGCGACGGGAACTGCATTTTCGGCACGCGAGCCTTTCGACTGCAGTCTAGCACTTTCGATGTTTCTTCGTGTTCCGCGGCAGTTTGAGCAGTAAGGTGAAAGCGAACGACCTTCTTGGCTCGAAAGTAAAGTCCATCGA